TCAGACGTGTGCTCTTCCGATCTCCCCAAAACCCCAAAACCCCAAAACCCCAGAACAAGTAGTGATCAGTTTTATTAACCATATAATACATTTCAAAATAAAGAATGACTGAATTCAAATTTATTGTTAATTTATTAAATTAGCATTAGGCTATCATTGGAACTCAGCTTAGTTTGTTAATTCTTTGTTTGAATAGAAGAGAGAATGATTTATGGATGATAGCATCGATGATACTGACAATAGTGAAGATACCTCCAATAATAGCACAAATATGCACTAAGAACAGAGTCATGCTCTCTCTTTCTTATTTAAAGCTAACAGTAATAGGTGAAAGCTCGTAGTTAAACTTTAAAATGTTGTGTCCTGTATTTGTGCTAATATGATGGCTTTAAGTTAATTAATAAACTTAGTAGAGATTGCCTGATAGATCTTTAAAGTATGAGGGGACTGCAATTAGGTAGAAATTACCTTCGATTGCTCCTGGCTATCCTTGCTCATCTGTAGGTGCTATAAAGCTCAAACCATCTAATGGGTTTTTGAATTCCTAGTCCTTGAACTTATTCTTAATAATGTCGAAATTGTGTAATTTTCCAAATGAGACATGATTAATATGATACGTGTAATCAAATCTATAACCTTCGAAGCTCAAGCCAAGCACAATATCGTTGTAGGCGTGAGTAGATATATGGAAATTTCCTGGCACCCTGTTTATTTCAATATACCCATACAACTGACATCCTTCCTTTCCATCTAGTTGCTCCTTAGTATTCTTCTGAATTTAAAGTCTATCGTATTGATTGTGCTCGACAAGTTTCTCTGAAATGATATTTCCTAATCTATCAATTCTTCTCTTCACAAGTGATCCCTGGACATCTACTAAGTGAGTTCCCATAACATCCTGAACATCTAAACTGACTACTTCACATGGAAGTCTTTCAAAGACTATATCCACATTTATGTTCAACTTCTAATCTTAATGACTAATATCAACAAGCATATCACTCTTAGTCTCAACATTTAAGTATCTAGTGACTTCACTTAAACTTAAAAGTACGAGAATAACAAAGCAGACAGTAGTTACTAATTTAAAATATTAAGAATATATGAAAAGTTACATAGAGCACCACAAAATGTCGGCTCTGTGAGATCTTTTGGTACTCTTTTGAAGATATCAAGTCTTGCAATAGCTGAACCTTTTGCCATTTCTAATTAATATTCTAAAATTAAATTATTCCTCCTATGAAAATATATTATACTAGCGGGGTTTTGGGGTTTTGGGGTTTTGGGG